AAGCTTTCCTGATTTATAGGGGCCCTACCAAGTCTGACCCCCTGCACCCCGTCCCCCCCCCCCCCCCCCACAACTCAGCTCCTGCCGGAGGGCCCCCTCCGCAGTCTTTCAACGACTCCTCGTCGCTGTCGCTCCACACGTGGACCTCCGGGGCTTAGGGTTCAGGAGTTTCGGGGTTTATGGGTTTGTGGATTGGGGTTACTGATACTGTCGCGCGAAGTAAGGTCTATTTAGCCCTCAACGACGCTATAGACTCCGTAGGGGCCTTATGATACTTAACCACTTCCCGAAAGCCGTTAACCCTACAACCCTATATAGCCCTTAACCGCACAGCCCAAAACCCGCGACCCCAACCCCCCTGAAGCTGAAGTACATCCCAAATCCCAGACTCCTTCTTTGCATCTGCAACCCTAGACCATGACGGCGTTCGTTCTATGAAGGTCGACCTTTGGGGCCCCTAAACCCCAACCGCAAACCCAAGACCCCGAAACAAAAACCCAAGAAGTTTCGGAAACTCGTTCAGAAGCAGGGGCAGGGAGCTTCCCTAAACCCTAAACGCTAAACCCTGAACCCTAAAACCATAAACACATCAACCCAAAAACCCTAAACGCAAGCGGCAGGGAGCTTGGGTGGGCCTCGGTGGCTTTGCCACCTGCCAGTGCGCAGAAGACCTTAGTAGCAGCCCATGGGGGCTCAGAGTAATACTTTTGAGGTGCAGGGGAGCTCCTTTTAAAGCCCAACTATAGTCCCATTGCAATTTGTGGCTTGGGGCTTAGGGTCCAGGCAAACGGTAGAAGGTTTTCAATACACAAAAACCCTAAAAAGTGCTGACGCCCCCTAGGCCCTTTGCTGCGAAGGGTGTTGATAGAGTCTTCGTAGCCCAGTAACCATATAAAAGATATGGTTCCCTATTTGCGGTTGCTTACTGTATCAGGGGAACCTAGACAAAAAATGGCGAAAGGGTACCGCTGGGCTACACAGGAGTCTTAGTTCCCAGCACCTACAGCTCATACCTGGTTTTAAGCATGACCCCGGGATGCGGTTGTAGGGTTTTGGGGGCTTTTGGGGGGTTTTAGGGTTTGAGGGTTTGGGGGCTTTAGGGTTTGAGGCTTTGAGGGTTTTAGCGCTTCAGGGTTGAGCTTTAAGGGGTTTTGGGGGATTTTGGCAGGTCTCCCTTGCTCTAAGGCTCGCTTCTGCCCTCAAAAGCCCCAGGAATTCTGCCTCGGAAGTTATGGAGCTTTCCAGCAACCCGAAACTTTAAATCCGAACCCCAAAATCTCATCCCCTAGCACCTAAGAAGCCCCAATATAGCACCGACATAGCCCCAAAAGAGTGTTCGTGTGACTTCTGGCGTCCTCTTACGAGGTTCCCTCCCGTAGTTGCTTACTTGGGACATGCTCTTGGGGTTAAGGGTTTGAGGTGGATCCTTTCTGCTTCTACCTGCCTGAACCCCCCAACCCCCAGCCCTATAGAATCCTACGTAACCCGAAACCCTAAGCCCTAAACACGAAAGTTTCCAAAAAGTTGGAACATCCTTATCCCCATACACCGAAAGGTATACTCAAGGGAATCCCAGCTCCAATCACCCTTAAACCATGTTGAAAGTTTCTGGAGACTGTACACCCTAAGGCCTAAACCCTAAACCCTAAACCTAAACCCTACACTCTAAACCGTAATTACACCCTAAACCCTAAACCCTAGCCCTAAACCCTAAGCCCTAAACCCTAAGCCCTGAACCCTACGAACACCCGCAGCGCTCTGTGAATAGGACTCGAAGCGCTCGCGAGCAGACCGTGCACGCCTTCGCTGCTGCTTTTGGGTGCTCTTTGTAGGGTTTAGGTTTAGGGTTTTGAATTTAGGGTTTAGGGTTTAGGGTTTAGGGTTTAGGGGTTTGGGGTTTGAGGGCTGAAGGGTTTTAAAGGTTCAGGGGCTAGTGGACTTTTTTGGGCTTGCTGAGAGGGAAGATGCTCCATCATCCCCACTTACCCCGTTCATAAGGTGTAGTTTTCGTCGCCTGCTGAGATGATCTTGAGACCGGGGCTTTTGTAGAATCCTAAGCCCTAAGCCCGATAAGCCCTAAGCCCTAGCCCTAAGTCCTAGGCCCAAGCCCTCAGCCATAAGCCTAAACTGAGGAATGCCAGTAGCATTCAAGATGGTAGGGTTTGGAAATTCAGGGCTAGGGGATGTTAGGGCTTCAGGGTCGATATTCCCCGATACCCGAAACAGACAACCGTCAAATGGACCAACTCCTTTTCGAAATCTTAACGCGAAACGTTGTAACGTTGTAAACACTTAAAACCACCTAAGCACAAACAACCCCATTAGCCCCCGTTCTGAAACCAAAGCAAGAACCCTAAACCCTGAACCCCCCTCAAACGGACCAAATCCTTGTCAACACCCTTAAAAGCACACAAACCTGAAAACGTTGCAAAAAAAAACCTAAACCCCCATAATCCCTAAAGACTAAGTGCCCTAAACCCTTAAACGCCCTAAACCCTAAAGCGCCCTACACCCATAAAAGCTCTAAACCCGAACACACCTAAACCCGAACAAGCCTAACCCCTAAACCCCAAACCCCAAACCCCAAACCCTAAACCTTAAACCCTAAACCCTAAACCCTAAACCCCATTCCGGGCGAGCTTCGCCCGTCGCCCTATCAGCTGCATGGCTCTCCCAGATGCGAGGGGACCCTGACGACCTGGTTTCTGCTTTTTTAGGACTTTGGGGTTTAGGGTTTAGGGTTTAGGGTTTAGGGATTGGGGTTTAGGGTTTAGGGTTTAGGGTTTAGGGTTTGGGGTTTAGGGTTTAGGGTTTAGGGTTTAGGGCCTAGGGTTTAGGGTTTAGGGTTTGCGGTGCGCGGTTCTTCTTGGGGATCTCCAACAGGGAGTTTGGTGTGTTTTGGGGCGTTTGGGGAGATCGGTCGGAATTTGTGGGGCTTCAGTGATTTCGGGGCGTAGCGTTCAAGATCTGTAAGGCCGCAATTGTTTTGGCTTGTAAGGCTTAATTGGAGTTGGGGGCCAGGGTTGAGGGGTCACGTTGAAGGATTCATCAGGGGTGAGGGTTATAGTTTAGGGTACTGTTGGTTCAGGGTTTGGGGGTTTGGGGATTGGGTTTAGGGGTTCAGGGCTTAGGAGTTCGGAAGGGGTTAGGGTACAATAGCTCCTTCCGGTGTATTTACATGGAACCTTGTGTCTTTACAGTCGATGGTTCAGGGTTCGTGGTTTGCGGCTTGGGGTGTGATCCTGACCCAGATCCAACTAAGACCCCTAAACCCGAAACCCTAAACCCCAAACCCTGAACCCTAAACCATAAACCCCCTTCTGCCAGGTCTCTGTGGGTCGACGTCTGGCATCACACCCTGAAATCCTTCCTGCACCTCCCGGGCGAGTTCTTCTCGGACCTGCGCGCGCTCAATTTTCTCAGCGCCAAACTTATGATATACTTCCAAAAGGAACCCAGAGAGTCGTATAACCCCTTAATTAAGGTATTTACCTTAAATTTTAAACTGATTGAAGGCATATTCCTCACTTAAGGGATGGACTCTTTTGAGGAATTTAGGCCCTAAACCCTAGACCCTAAACCCTACACCCTGAACCCTAGACCCTAAACCCTACACCCTAAACCCTACACCCTAAACCCTAACCCTAAACCCTAAACCCTAAACCCTAAACCCTAAACCCGAAGAAGTACGATTGGTCTAGGTGTGGCTGTAGGCTGTTCGTTGTAGATCACTGTCAGCTCTCAGCGCTTCTTTGGTGATTTCGGCTGCAGCCGCGAGGGTCCGGATATAGTATACATGCACTTGGGCCCTTCAGAGCTACGATGTGGGAACCCCCTGTATTGCAAGGCCCAGGTATATACCGTATACAAGCCCTGTATACCTCCTGGTCGATGCTTTCCCCAAAGCCACTAAACTGTTATGCGGGTTAAGGATTAATAAATTCGAGCCAGGATTAGGGTTTACAAGTAAGGTTCATAGGGCAGAGTCTCAGAACATTAGCTGTGTCAATGCAAAGCTGACAACATTCTGCCGCGCCTGTCGCGTCCTGCTCGTCGGCGGGTGGCTGCACTCCTTCGGAGGGCCTGCACCTCGCGGTTGCTTCCCGTGCTGCGGCGGCGATGTTGGCAGAGGCTGGACGCCCGGAGCTTCCGGGAGGTCTGGTTCTTGCCAGGAATCCTTCCTGCTCCGCGCCGTGCTCTGGCCCTTCGAAGGGGACAGCTCCACAGAGCCCTCAGTGAAGAACGTGGGCTGCGCCACTTCAGACTCAGGTGCTTGGTTCTTTGCAGCCACTGCCTCAGCCGTACGATGAGGGATGATGGGAAGTTGCGGGGATTTGCAGTAGTTGCTAAGAAATGCTGACGGCTCATCTGACATAGGGAGCTTATGATATCTCTTGGCTTCATCTGTGGGGTCGTCTGTGTAGGTAGTTTCTCTGAGGGAGATTATGTATATCATAAAAAGTTTCACTGACAGCCTTCGCATGCTCGATCAGAGGGTTGAATTAGGACTTACAAGGCTAGGTCTCAGAACTCCGAACATTCGCTTCGGCCTCCGGCCAAGAGGTGTGTGGAACAAGCAGAAAGTCTCCATCATCCCCAGCCCACCACACGGTCACCACACCCTTTTCTGTGGGATCCGCCCCTGAAACTCTACCGAGACCCAACCTGTCCGACGCTGCAGGCTTAAAGACGTGCCACTCTGCAACGACTGTGTCAGCGCTTCGTGCTTTTTTGCTGCAACTGGCGTCGCTTCCGTCCCCTACTTGCAGCCAATGCCTTCCTACGACCCTCCTGGGACCCCGCCTGACCTTGCCTCCTGGCTTCTGGGAATCCTCCGATGAGGCCTTACCCCTGACGCCCCAGCCTGCACCAAGCGACATAGGACTTTGGCCTTCCTTCGTCTGCAATTCGCACGGTACACCCCTCGTTGGGCCCGCCCGGCTGCCGAGGCGGTGCATGCAAGCATTTGCAAATGGCTGAAAACTGTCAATACAAAATCATCAAACTGACAACATCTGCCGTGCCTGCGGCGTCTTGCTCGCGGGCGGGTGGCCGCACTCCTTCGGAGGGCCTGCACCACACGGTTGCTTCCCGCGCTGCGGCGGCGATGTTGGCAGCGGCTGGACGCCCGGAGCTTCCGGGAGGTCCGGGTCCTGCCAAGAATCCTTTCCGCTCCGCGCCGTGCTCTGGCTCTGGCCCTTCGAAGGGGACAGCTCCACAGAGCCCTCAGTGAAGAACCTGGGCTGTGCCACCTCGGACGCTTGGTTCTTCGCAGCCACTGCCTCCGTCGCAGTATTGTTGGATGAGGGGCAGTTGTGGGGATTTGCATTCGGTCGTTCGGTGTTTAGATTTGCTGACGGCTCTGCTGACAGAAGAGGGAGCCTATGACTTCTGGTGGGTTCTTCTGCGGGGTCGTGTGTGTAGGTAATTTCAGCGGAGTAGACTACAAAGTTTGACTGACCGCCTTGGCAAGCTCAACCGGCTGCGCGGAGTCTGCAGAACCCCGGATGCAGAAATGAGCAGCTCCCAAGCCATCGTCCTCGGCCTCTAAGGCGTCCACACCTCCCCTGGGCCCAGACTCTTGAGAGGAGGTGCTGCTTGGAGGGACAGGGTGTGGCGGCCTTTTGTCGGTGGATTTGGAAATCTGGAGCGGCGTGCGAAGGGCCCGAGTGGCTGGAGGAGGGGCCGGATCCGCCTTGACCTTCGGCGCCGCACCCGCTGCACCCGCCATGCCAGCTCTGTTCCAGGAAATCTCCTCCCCAAGGCTCACTGCATGCAGCTTCGCCAGCGACGAGTGAGGCCACGCCGTACCCTGAAGAGGAACTGGCTCCTCAGGAGATGGTTCCTGGAGTGTGGAGGGATGGGGGAAGCTCTCCTCGATGGTCGTCTCATTGACCTTCTCGCCGGCTGCCACCGCCTCCTTCCTGTGCTTCTCCTCCGAGGCGGCAGTTTCTACTGACCAGGGAACTTAGTAAATGAGGCTAACTATACTTATAGTTACATAGAACACCCGTACTTATATCCTGCTTACTACGTGCCCCCCGATCCTCCAAGTAGAGAGTCGCAAGGGACTGACTCCAAAAACTAAGCAGCCCCCGGTACCCTTGCAAGGATGTCATGTGTGTTTTGGCCGTGCTCTGGCGCTGACTTCTGGTTGCATTTTGCTTAGGATCTGCTCATGCTACTACGAGGCAGACCACCACTTTCAAACAGTGACTGCATTACTCCTTGCTAATACCATGCACGACCTGCGCTCCTTTGAGCATTCTCTGGTATGATGAGGTCCTAGATTCCCTTACTAGCCCAGTAACCATAGTATGACAAGGGTACCCTTTTTGGGGTTGCTTTATTATGAAACCTTGAACCCCCCAAAAGGGGAAAAGGGCAGCATCAGTCAAACATTCCACGCTGCCGTGTTTGTTTTTTGCCTCTTCTTTGGCAGCACATGCAGTCGGGCTCAGTTCTTTTAGGAGCCCTAAAGGACACTAAACACATACACTCCCGTCACCCTGAACCCTAAACCCTAAACCAAGGACCAAGTCCGACTCTGAAGTCCAATCCAGGAGGGTTTAGGGTTTAGGGTTTAGGGTTTAGGGTTTAGGGTTTAGGGTTTAGGGGCCCTAAACCCCTAAAGTCATACTCGGACCCCCCTAAGGACGTGCCCCTAAGAGGTTTCCCCTTGATATACTCCTAATATTGACATACTTTTAATATATGGCCCCTTATATAGGAGGATCTTGAAACAAGGGCCCCCACACCCAAGAGTACAACCTTAGGGGTCCAAGGTCGAATCCCATGATGATCTCCTACAACCGCACCCAAAATTTCAAGGCCCTAGGGTTCAGGGTGGAAACCCTAAACCCTAAACCCTAAACCCTAAACCCTAAACCCTAAACCCTAAACCCTAAACCCTAAACTCCACTCTCCGAAACCTCCGGACTGCGAGTCTTGAAGATGAACAGGCCTGGTGGGCGCGCTCCCGCTCCTCTTGGGCGCGCTTCGCCGCCTCGGCCGCCTCGGCCGCCTCCGCGACTTTGGTTTAGGGTTTAGGGTTGAGGGTTTAGGGTTTAGGGCTTGGGTTTAGGGGTTAGGGGTTAGGGTTTAGGGTTTAGGGTTTAGGGTTTAGGGTTTAGGGTTCCCTTCCCCCTCAAAACCCTCAACCCAGATGTAAACCCCAGAAGCAAGAAGCCCCCCCTCCCCCAACCCCCACCCAAACACAGACACAGAGACAAACGCCTGACCTCGAGTCTTCAAGATGAAAGAAGGCCTGGTGGGCTCGCTCCCGCTCCTCTAGGGGGGCCTGACCTTCCCTCCAATTACGAGTCCTCAACCCTCTCCCCTCTAGATCCCCGCCTCCCCCCCACCCCCCCGCCACCCGACATAGGCAGCCCCCGGGTTGAGGGCTTCACTCCACTTTGAGGACAGCAAGAAGAGAGGTACCCTAAACCGTAAACCGTAAACCGTAAACCGTAAACCCTAAACCCTAAAGCCTAAAGCCTAAAGCCTAAAGCCTAAAGCCTAAAGCCTAAAGCCTAAAGCCTAAAGCCTAAAGCCTAAAGCCTAAAGCCTAAAGCCTAAAGCCTAAAGCCTAAAGCCTAAGCCCTTCGCCCTGCAGCCTCCGCGCTCCTAAAGCACCGAAATCACACACCATTTTTGGCGGCTACTTTGAGCCAAAGGAACCCTAAACCCAAAAAGAGCCCCAAGCCCTATAAGCACGAATTCCAGACCCGTAAACCCCCAAGTGGCGTTGAAGCCCCTAAACTCGGAAATCTCCTGACTTCGAGTCTTCACGATGCAAAAGGCCTGGTGGGCTCTCTCCCGCTCCTCTTGGGCGCGCTTCGCCGCCTCGGCCGCCTGCCCATTGGGGATTTAAGGGCTTAGGGTTTTAGGGTTTAGGGTTTTAGGGTTTAGGGTTCCCTCCCTCCTCAGAAACCCTCAACCCTACAGGCACAGACACAGAGACACACGGTTGCAGGGGAGTAGAGCTTATACAGGCTGGCAGGGCAGCAGGGGAGGTTTCGGTGCTTTCGGAGTGAAGAGGGTGTTCAGCATCCTGGAGAGGTCCCGATGTCGCAGCATCCCTACTCAAAGGGCGTGGGGGCCGGAGAGGGGGTGGGCTATCTGGGCTGGGATTACAGGGGGGGGGTATCATTTTGAGCGGCTACGTGGAGTCAAAGGAACCCTGCACCCAAAAAACAAAATTCTTGGAAGGAGAGCTGAGGTAGTTTATAATACCTGTTTCTAGGTTTAAGGGAAAAATAATTAGAATCAGTAAAAATAGAATAATATTGATGTGAGGCCAAAGCCCGATTTCCATATCCTCAAGCCCCCAAGAGGCCTTGAAGCCCCTAAGCTCCTGACCACGAGCCTTCTTGGTAGCCCAGTAACCATATTATAAATAAGGGCACCCTTTTCTTTTTGGTTTGGCTACTTTGTAAGGGAACCTTGAACCAAAAAAAGGGTACAGGGTACCCTAAACCCTAAACCCTAAACCCTCAAGCCCCTGTAACTTGAAACCCTAAACCCTCAAGCCCCTGTAACTTGAAATTATTCCAAAAAATCCTAAACAGAAACACCTCGAAACTCCCCGAAACTTCCCCGGACCTGTTTCCTTAATAATTTCAATAAACCCTAAACCCTAAACCCTAAACCCTAAACCCTAAACCCTAAGAGTCTTCAAGATGAAGTTTGGCCTCGTGGGCTTGGCGGGCTCGCTCCCGCTCCTCTTCTGCGCGCCTCGCCGCCTCCGCGGCCTCCCCCGACAATGGGGCACAAATAGGGGCCTGGCCACCCTACAGACCCACCACACCCTACAGACCCTACAGATCCTACAGACCCTACAGACCCTACAGACCCTACAGACCCCATAGACCCTATAGACCCTATAGACCCTATAGACCCTATAGACCCTATAGACCCTATAGACCCTATAGACCCTATAGACCCTAGACCCCATACCCTAAACCCAAAACTTACACAGTGCACCCTGACCCCCCCCCCCCCCCTCCTTTCTAGGCCCCCCCCACCCCCCGGCCCCAGCCCCACCCCACCAAACCAAAGCCACGACCAAATAGCCCACCTCGGGCCTTGATTAGGGATGCCCTCCCGGCATAGGTGTTTCAGGGTGAAGGGCTCCACTCCCTACTTTTATGTTTAGGTTCTTGGTGGGAGCCTGGTTTGGAGGTTTGGGGCCATGTAGGGCTCTAAACCCCTGCACCCGAATCCGCGTGTCTCTGTGCCTGTGATGAGGGCACCATGCTTGGCGGCTTCTTTGAGTCAGAGGAATAACCCAAAAAGAGCCCTAAGCCCTAGGCCCTAAGCCCGAAGCCCTAAGCCCTATACTTCCCTATCCTTAAGCCCCCAGAGAGGCCTTGAAGCCCCTGAACTCCACAATCTCCAAAATCTCCTGACCCCGAGTCTTCAGGATGAAACAAGGCCTGGTGGGCTCGCTCCCGCTCCTCTTGGGCTCGCCTCGCCGCCACAGCCGCCTCCCCGACGATTTGGCATCTACTCGGAGGTTCATGGTAGTTTTTTTTCACCAGTTACCACTGTACTTATCATAACTGTACTTATAACCATATTAGGGCACTTAAGGGGGACAGTTAGAATTGACTAAGAAGTACCATGAACCTCCAAGTAGGGGCCTGAAATTTCCGCCCATTGCAAGCCATCAAACCCTCCTAAGCATGAAGCCTCCCCCTCCCCTTCCACACCCACACCTTGACGGAGGCGGAGACGGCCCTCAATGAGGGCACCCTTTTCGGGGGTGGCTACTTAGAGTCTTAGAGATATGAACCCGGCACCCAAAAAAAGGGCAAAAAGGTACCACCGCCGGCTCTCACGCCCCCCAGGTTAAGTTGTATAAGGAGGAAGTCCTAGAAGGGACCCTTAATCTTACCCCCTGTGACCCCTACATATACCTTATATAGTCCCTTTATTCGCAAGAAGCCCCTAAATCATAACCCCTAAGTAGCCCCTAAGGTCCCTGATAAGTCTGTAGGAGAAGGAAAGCCCTAAGGCCTAAGCCCGAAATTCATATCCTTAAACCCCAAAAAAGGCGTTGAAGCCCCTGAACTCCACAATCTCCAAAATTTCCTGACTCCGAGGTGGGCTCCCTGCCCCCCACACCGAATCACAAATCAAAGCCACCTGATAGCCCGTGTCAGGCCTTGATGCCATTTGGGTAGGGATGCCCCGACATAGGCATAGGTACCCCCAGGGATGAGGGCTCCACTCCCTACGTTTATGCTTTGTTTGTTGGTGGGAGCCGCGTTTGGAGGTGTGGAAGAGCCCAATCATGAACGCCAAGAGATCAGGCAGACAGAAGCGTGGTTCGCATTTACGTCCCTAAAGCCCAAACCCTTCAGCCCCTAAAGCACACACACACACACACACCCAGGCACAGGCACAGGCACAGACACAGAGACGCCAGGTTGAGGTTGCCGGGGCTTATAGAGCTTATAGGCGGAAAGGGCATTAGGGGAGGTTTCGGAGCTTTAGGAGTGCGGCGGGTGTTCAGCAGAAAAGTAGGGAGTGAAGCCCTCAACCTATGTCGGGGGGGGCGGGGGCGTCCCTACCCAAAGGGCATGAGGGCCTGAGAGGGGGTGGGCTATCTGGGCGAGGGGGGGGTATCAGTTTGGGCGGCTACTTTGAGTCAAAGGAACCCTTTAAACCCAACCACCAAAAACCCTTAGAAGGGCAGCCCTTCAAGCCCCTGAACTCCACAATCTCCAAAATCTCCTGACCCCGAGTCTTCAGGATGAAAAGAAGGCCTGGTGGGCTCGCTCCCGCTCCTCTTGGGCTCGCCTCGCCGCCGCGGCCGCCTCCCCGACGTTTTGGCATCTAGGGGCCTGACCTTCCCTAGCCACCCCACCCTACTCCCCAGAGGCCCGCCCACCGCCCCCCGGCCCCACCCCCGCAAGTCAAAGCCCACGACCTGATAGCCCGTGTCAGGCCTTGATGCCATTTGGGTAGGGATGCCCCGACATAGGCATAGGTACCCCCAGGGATGAGGGCTCCACTCCCTACGTTTATGCTTAGTTTGTTGGTTGGAACCTCGTTTGGAGGACTGGGGGAGCCCAGGAGCCCCATGATGAACACCAAGTTTCAAGAGAGGCAGCAAGAAGCGAAACCCCAAACCCTAAACCCTAAACCCTAAACCCCAGGTCTCTAAAGCCTAAGCCCTCGCCCTCGAGCCTCCGCGCTTCTAAAGCACCGAAATCTCCCCTAAGGGCCCCTAAGCCCCTGAGCCCTATAAGCTTTCTAAACCCCTGCACACTAAACCGTATGTCGCTGTTCCCGTCTCCGTGTCTGCAATGAGGGCACCATTGGCGGCTTCTTTGAGTCAAAAGAACCCTAAACCCAAAAAGATGCGCCAGCCGTATAAGCACGAATTCCATACCCTTAAACCCCCAAGCGGCATTGAAGCCCCGAAACTCCAAGCTCCAGAATCTCCTGACCCCAACGCTTCACGAACAATGCCTGGTGGGCTCGCTCCCGTTCCTCTTGGGCGCGCTTCGCCTCCTCGACCGCCTTCCCGACGACATGGCGTCTATGGTTGCCTGACCTTCCCTCCAAATAAAAAACCTTCAACCATTTCAGCCTGAAGCCTCCCCCCCCCCCCCCCCCCCCCCCCCCCACACTCTTTTCGGTGGTGAAACCCAAAACCCAAACAGGGCAAGAGGGTACCGCCGGGCTATCAAGCCCCTCAGATCCGCGGTTGTAGCACTGCGCCTCCTGAATGGCCTTCTCCTTCCTGGGCGCGAAGAGTGCAGCTGGGCTCAGTCTTCGGCTAGGCAAAGGGGTTAAAACGGTGTCACCACCCTAAACCCTAAACCCTAAACCCTAAACCCTAATCTGGGAGACTTATAGTAAGTACGTACAAAGTGGAGCTCTAAGTGCCCTGAAAAGGGACCGCGATTGGGCTGTCCTGGTTTGTAACCCCTACTTCATAGATACAAATAAGGTTTAGGGTTTAGGGTTTAGGGTTTAGGGTTTAGGGTTTAGGGTTTAGGGTTTAGGGTTTAGGGTTTGGGGGTTCCCACATCCAAATAGGCTTAGTTATGAGGGAAGGCTTTGGGAGCCCAGATACTGGGGATCCTATGATGAAGCGTCACCCCCGCCCTAAACCCTAAACCCTAAACCCTAAACCCTAAACCCTAAACCCTAAACCCTAAGCCCAAAAAAAAATGGATGCAGATCTAAGCTGCTTTGCTTCTGCTGCTCGCTCGTGCGCCTCGCGGGGTTGTCATTGGGTAGCACTCTGCCCTAAACCCTAAACCCTAAACCCGAAACCCTCAACCCTCAACCCCGACTCCAGATTAGGACGTAACGCCCTAACAACCCTACACCTGAAACCGAAACCCTAAACCCTAAACCCTAAACCCTAAACCCCAAACCCCAAACCCTAAACCGGTTGGAGCTGTTTTGGGGGCTCTCTGGGCCTTGGACTGTCATGGGTTGAGGGCACTTGTAGTTCTGGTCTAGGGTTTAGGGTTTAGGGTTTAGGGTTTAGGGTTTAGGGTTTAGGGTTTAGGGTTTAGGGTTTAGGGTCTAGGGTTTAGGGTTTAGGGTTTAGGGTTTAGGGTTTAGGGCTTAGGGTTTAGGGTTTAGGGTTTAGGGTTTAGGCTTAGGGTTTAGGGTTCAGGGTTTAGGGCGCTTGCAACTCTGGGGCTAGTGGATGTCTTCAAGCCTGCGGATCCTGAGGGGTTCATCGTTTGCGGCGCTTGGCGGGGTTGGGGGGTTTGGGGTATGGGATTTAGGGTTTGCACACATGCCGGCAAGAGAAGAGCAACCACGAAGCACCCTGAGGTGCCCTCAAGGAAGTCACATGCATCCCAGGATGACCTACCAGCATATGTGGACCCTGAACCCCAATATCGGGCTCATTTAGCCCCTAAACCCTAAACCCCAAACCCTAAACCCTAAACCCTAAACCCTAAACCCTAAACCCCCTTGGAAGCTCGCCTCCTGAGCAGCTTTCGCCATGGCTTCGTCATCCTTCCGCACGGTGCGGAGAGCCGTGAGGCTGAGCGGCGAGTCGCCACCTGCGAGTTGTCTTGGGGGGTTTAGGGTTTAGGGTTTAGGGTATAGGGTATAGGGTTTAGGGTTTAGGGTCCAACCTAGAGAGCACAATTTATCACCTAATTAAGGAGTATACCCTGAAAGTATACAGGGATCCTGAATATCATTTAAGGTATATTCTTTAGTTGAGGGATACTGGGCTCTTTGGGATTGTGTTGTTTTTTTATTGGACCCCCCCGGTGTAGAGGAAGCAGCCAGGGGAGTTTGGGGGGGTCGGGTTGGGTTTTCGTCCATGGGGGGTTCCGGGGCCCCCCCCAACTGTACCCTGGAAGATTCCCAAGCCGTTCATCTGAGAAAAACAGCCGGGCCACCTTGCGTGTCGCAGGACAGCCGCGCCGCACCTCTCGTCACATGCGTAGTTTATGTATTGTGCTCTCTGCTGTCGAGTGGTATATGCTATGTGCATATATATATATATATATACATAGATATGCGTGCGCGTGTGTCTGCTATGGTATGATATATTCTGATATACATATATATATATATATATTTATATTTATGTTATGTGTAGACCCCAAGGGTTGAGGCTTTTCACGGTCTAAACCAGCCAAGCTGCTTCTTCCTGCAACTAGCCTTGCGAGCCTTGAGATAAAGACTGTCCGAGCTTCAGCACATGCCATGCTGGCCCTGTAAACCCTATAAACCCCAGAAACCCTGTACACCCACAAGCCCTAAACCCTAAACCCTAAACCCTAAACCCTAAACCCTAAACCCCCGATAAACCCCAGAAACCCTGTAAACCCACAAGCCCGACAGGCTCCTGGCTGCCGCACCCGCAAGTTAAGGGGAAGCGCCGCTGCCAACTGAACCCTGAGAGAAACCCAAACCATAACCCTAAACCCTGAACCCTGAACCCTAAACCCTAAACCTGTTTCCTGAACCCTGAACCCTGAACCCTGAACTCTGAACCCTGAACCCTGAACCCCAAACCCTGCCTTGAAAACGGAGGCAGCTCTCTGTACTGTGCCGTCGGTCGGTGCGTGCAGCTGTCGTCCGGGCATCCAAGAGCCTCTCCTCTTCAGGGTTTAGGGTTTAGGGTTTAGGGTGTAGGGTTTAGGGTTTAGGGTTTAGGGATAGGGTTCAGGGTTTTGGCTGAAGAGAGCTTCGGAGCTTAGGGTTGAGCCAAGGTTTCGAGGGTCATGCCACCCCCGCCCCCCCACTCCTCGTAGCTGGCAGTTTGGCTGCAGAAGGAGCCTAGGCTGTCCCCGAAAATGACAAAAACACATATGATCCTCTTAAACCCAAAAAGGGAAAATCTGAAAAAACACAAATTCCATAAACCCTAAACCCTAAACCCTAAACCCTAAACCCTAAACCCTAAACCCTAAACCCTAATTAAACCCTAAACCCTAACCCTAAACCCCTCAAAAAAACCCAAGGAGCTGGACTTGAGGATGCTGGGTCGCCGCTTCGGCGCCTCCTCGACAGTCTCCGCGGAGGGCTCGGGGAGGTCCCTCCCAAAGGAGACCTTAGTTGGGTTTAGGGTTTAGGGTTTAGGGCTTAGGGCTTAGGGCTTAGGGTTTAGGGTACTCACTCAGCTGCTAAGAGACGCTCTTGCGCCGAAGGCCCTCCGCATGCTCCGGCTCCTCTTCAGGGGTGCCCTTAAGTGTAGTATCCCTAAACCCTAATCCGAGCACCTATTCAATTGCTACCCCCACATCGCCGGAAGACTACTTTCCATTACGGGGGTTTTCGTATGGGCCAATACCACCACATTTAAAGAATTTTCCGGTGGGGTTCGGCAGGCTTCTTGTTTTGCTTGCTGAGCTGCGAAGCTACAGCACCTCAGGGATCTGCAGCCTATTGTTTGTAAAAGAGAATCAATACATTGCCATGGTCTTATTCTTGCGGCGCCCTGCCTTTCTTATTCTGGCGGAGGGGGGCCCAATTAAGCAGGTGCTCGGACTAAACCCCAAACCCCAATCCCCAAACCCCAATCCCCAAACCCCAAACCCCAAACCCTAAACCCTCTAAAAACCCTTAAAGCGCCATAAAAGCCTTAAACTCCGCCCCCACAAACACCGCCGCTCCTGCCGCTGCTGGGCCTGCGCCAGTGCCCGGCGCACCTCGCGGTGTGCAGCCTGGTGCGCCTCCTGCTGCGCCTTCTCCTTGAAGGGCTTTCTATAGGCTTTGTAGGGATTACAGGGCTTAGGGTTTAGGGTTTAGGGTTTAGGGTTTAGAGTTTAGGGTTTGTAGGGTGTGTAGGGTGTGTGTAGGGTCTATAGGGTTTAGGGATATACGGTTTTAGGGTTTAGGATTTACGGCTCTAGGGTTTAGGGTTTAGGGTTTAGGGGGATTTGGGATAGCTGGGTTTGTTTAGGGTTTAGGGTTTAGGGTTTAGGGTTTAGGGTTTAGGGTTTAGGGTTTAGGGTTTAGGGTTTAGGGTTTAGGGTTAGGGTGGGTGTAGAGTGCATGTGGGCCGGGCGATAGGGGAAGGTCAAAACCCTATCAACATATAGACCCTATAAACCTTCCCCATCAACCCTCCGAACCCTATAAATTATAAACCCAAAGCCCTCTAAACCCCAAATCCTTACAACTGGGCTTTGGAGTACTATACTTTCATACTTTTTTGGTTTTGGGTTCCCAGTATAGCTACTTATACCTAGAAAGTATATACTTTTTTCCTGGGTGGAACCCAGGACCCTGTAAGCCCTGCAAGCCCTGTAAACAAACCCTAAAGCCCTATAAACCCTATAAACCCCTTATAAACCTCCCTATGAGCCCTAGAACCCTATGAACCCCAGACCCTAAACCCTAAACCCTAAACCCTAAACCCTAAACCCACTGGGCTCCTTGGCCAAGCTAGCCTTCCGTTCGCCCTCCACGCGCTCACGGCGCATCTCCTCGATCCACAGCTGGCCACGTTGAATCTGCTGCTGCTGGATGCCTGGGGGGGGGGGGGGGTTAGGGGTTAGGGGTTAGGGTTTAGGGTTTAGGGTTTAGGGTTTAGGGTTTAGGGTTTAGGGTTTAGGGTTTACGGTTTACGGTTTAGGGTTAGGGCTCAGGAGTTTTGGGTATTGAGGCCTTAGGGTGTAGGGTTTGGAGCATCCTCGGGACGGTAGGATGCACGGCATGCGCAGACTTAGGGCCCTTGATGGGTGTAAAGGCCTCTTCAGTCCTCAACACTAAAACAAAAGTGCGCAAACCCAAAAACCACTTCAGCCTTTATACCCCTAAACCCTAAACCCTAAACCCTAAACCCTATACTCTAAAACCCTAAGCCCTAAACCCTCAACTCCTCAGGACCAAATGTAACAAGGGCTGGGGGGCGGTGAGACACGATGAAGCTGGGCTCGCTCTGGCCAGCAGCAGCATGGCCTTGCGCACACGCATTCTCTAGGGCTTGTACCTTGGACCTTTAGGGTTTAGGGTTTAGGGTTTAGGGTTTAGGGTTTAGGGTTGAGGGTTGAGGGTTGGGGGTGAAATTAGGGTTAGGGGTTTTAGCAACTTGGAGCCTTAAGGTTGGGTTTTGGAGGAACCTTTTTAAACATCCGTAGGTTAGTATGTAATTAAGGCCAATATTCGGAGTATGTTAAGAGAAGCCTTTCGGGGTACAAGCTCAGGGGTCCGAATAAGATTCGACCCACAAAGGGTCTGGGATTTCAGGAATGGTATACCCACCAACGGATTAAGGAACGCTTCCCTTTGTTCAAAGGACCCCACCGAGCCTGCAAAAATTATGGTTTATGGGGTTTCGTAATCCCCTGAAGCCTAAACCCTAAACCCTAAAACCCTAAAACCCTAAAACCCTAAACCCTAAACCCTAAACCCTAAACCCGAAACCCTAAACCCTAAACCCTAAACCCTAAACCCTAAACCCTAAACCCTAAACCCTAAACCCTAAACCCTAAGCCCAGCCTTGGTCGCCACGTGGCTTTGCGGGCGCGGACTTCGGCCGCGCGTAAGGCTGCGGCGTCGTGAAGCCGTTCCAGGCATCCTTCTAAAAGGGTCGCAGGGGTTTAGGGAGCCCTAAACCCTAAACCCTAAACCCTAAGCCCTAAACTATATATAGTTTAATATCACAGGACCTTGACGAAGAGAACTGGCCTGATCCTGAATCCTGCCATGGAGCCCAACCATTCAGGAGCTCGCCCGACACTGCCCGGCAGCCTTTTTCTTTCTCGTCAGCCAACGCCTGAGCCGCGTGCAGGACGCCAGGGTTGCGAGAGAATTCGGGGGACAAAGTTTAGGGTTTCTAGGGCTTTTGAGGATTTTTTTTGGGGGGGGGGGCGGGGGGGAGAATAAGGTTTAGGGTTTCCTAAGCCCTAAACCCTAAAACCTAACCCTAAACCGGTGAGGGCTCAGGGCGCCTCTTAGGGTCCATTCTGCAGAACCCTTCCCAAATACCCATGGGTAAAAAGATTAAGTTTTCATTCAGAAAAAGACTAGCCAAAAATCGAAAAGTTGGATTTTGAACCACAAATGAAAAAAAAGCAAGAAGGAATAGCAAGGGGTAGGAATGGAAAGGCTAAAAGTACATGGAGGGTTTAGGGTTTAGGGTTTAGGGTTTAGGGTTTAGGGCTAGGGTTGAGGGTTGAGGGTTGAGGGTTGAGGGTTGAGGGTTGAGGGTTGAGGGTTGAGGGTTTAGGGTTGGGGGGTACCCATTGAACACTGAACCCTGGACCAAGATCCCGCAGGCACCCGATGACTCTAAAGCCACCCGAAGGCCTAAACCCTAAAGCTGTCAACCCTAAACCCTAAACCCTAAACCCTAAACCCTAAACCCTAAACCCTAAACCCTAAACCCTAAACCCTAGCCCCAAACCCTAAACCCTAAACCCTAGCCCCTAAACCTTAAACCCTAGCCCTAAAGACATACTCGCCCGGTGCAATCGCAGGTTCGCAGAAATCTCCACGGGAAGGCATACCGCTTCCCGACTGGCTCTTCGCCAAGCAGCCGGGTTTAGGGTTTAGGGGTTTAGGGTTTAGGGTGGCCCAGTTTGGCCTTCTTCAGGCCAGGCCGTCGGGACCATTCTGGAATCTGATCCTCTGCGAGGCACCCACGTAGGACCTTTAAGGTCGGGCAAAGCCGTATTGCCCTCGCATCGTCGGGGCTCATCACTCCTCCACTCCAAGAAGGGGTCTCGGGTCTGCATTGCTCCCACTTGGCCTGGCTTTTCATCGCTGCTGTTGCCCTGCTGCAGGCGAGGGGTTTCCCCCAGACGGGCCAGGCTGCCGCCTTCGTAAACCCTAAACCCTAAACCCTAAACCCTAAACCCTAAACCCTAACCCTAAACCCTAAACCCTAAACCCTAAACCCGCGGACTTGCTTCGCCCACCCACAGAATGAAGAGTTGGGTGATCCTTGTCGGTGCCGATGACTACTATGTGAAAAACCTTCTTCCGTTCCTATGTAGGCATCCCGCATGTTTGTAGGGTTTAGGGTTTAGGGCTTGGGGGTAGGGGCTTGGGGCTTAGGGTTTAGGGCTAGGGTTTAGGGTTAGGGTTTAGGGTTTAGGGTTTAGGGCCTAGGGTTTAGGGCCTATGGTTTAGGGTCTAGGGTTTAGGGTTTAGGGCTTAGGGTTTAGGCTTCAGGGCTTTAGGGTTTAGGGTTTTGAGTGTCCAGGGCCATAAACTATTAAACCTGAACACTAGAAAGCATCAATGTCACAAGCAGCTCTTGCCCCAAACCCTAACCCTAAACCCTAAACCTTAAACCCTAAACCCTAAACCCCTAAACCACCATAAAGCCTACACCCAGCAGCCTGCGGGTGAAGGAGGCCCGGGCGGACTTCTGGAGGCGGGTCCTGCGACAGTGTCTTGTTGGTTAGGGATTCTTAGGGTTTAGGGTTTAGGGCTAGGGTTCAGGATTTAGGGTTTAGGGCTTAGGGCTTAGGGTTTAGGGCTGCTACCACAGTTGAAGCGAAGGAAGCAAGCCCACCAATTATGGCAAGGCTGCTCCAGGTCGCTGTGTTTAGAGGCTCAAGAAACCCTATGCCCTAAACCCTGGAGGGACACAGGGCGAAGGAGTTAAGAAGCTGCTTTGGGTTCAGAACTATGGTTCGAAGTTGAGATGTTCCCCCTTATACTAGCAGTCCTTAATAGGGATGATCGTACCCCCTGCTATAATCCCTATAAAGGACTGTTCGTACAAGGGGTGACATCCGAAGGTTTAGGGTTGATAGAAGATGTTTAGGGTTTGGGTCCGAAAAAACCTTGGGATGAGAGTACTGCACTATTTTTGAACGAAACGTTTTGAACGAAGCGTTGTGAACGAAGATTTTGAAGGACACGTGTTGAACCAAACGTGCTAAGCGAAACGTTTTAAACTAAACCCTAAACCCTAAACCCTGAACCCTAAACCCTAAACCCTAAACCCTAAACCCTAAACCCTAAACCCTAAACCCTAAACCCGGGTTTAGGGTTTAGGGTTTAGCGTTTAGGGTCTAGGGTCTAGGGTTTAGGGTTTAGGGTTTAGGTTGCATTGTAATCCCTTCCTCTAGTACTATAAACCCCCCAAGGATTAGGGTTGTTTTTGTAGTAGGGGTGTTTTAATAAGGGGAAGGGACCAATAGTGTTCGGGCCTGTATTTTCCTTCTTGGGCGTTTGGAATGAAGCTTCCGTTATGCGTGAAATGTTTTAAACGGAACGTGTCTTTTTCAGATCTTGTTCTAACAAGGAACAAGCGCTTGTCAGTTTGATAAGAGTGTTTGAGCCACATATTCGAACATTTTGTCACATACAATTTCTAAAACGTGAAGGTGCAACAAATTGCCCGAAACAAGCAAAGTCGAAACACACAAAATCTCTATGTTTTGTCTGCAGGGTTTAGGGCTTAGGAGTTAGAGTTTACCGTTCAGAGTGGCTCTGTTAGTGGCATATCGATGTGTGCGTGACAGAAAGTATCCCCAAAAGCTGCTCGCAATGGTCTGCCTCGCACAACTTGGACCGAAACCTTTAAATTACCCCAAAATCCCCCGACGAATGCTCCACGCCCTGTAAAAACACCAAAAAAAATGGACCTCTTGTATTCCTAGACCCAAGAGCAACCGAGGAACAAAAGGTTTAAAGGTGCTTTTCAGGAAACCTGAACCCCCAAAAAAGGGAATAAGGGCCCAATCTTGGTCCTAGCTGCTCTGCGCCGTCAGCCAAAGCCCAGAAAACACTAAGAGCTAAACCCTCTGACCCTCACCCTGCCTGGGATCCTAAACCCTAAGACCCTAGACCCTCTGACCCTGAACCCTAAGAGCCCCAAGATGATCTCACCCTGCCTGGGATCTGAGCGTTGGAGCTTCCGGCTGCGACTCATCTTCCGGCCGCCGGCTTTCGTCGGCGACCTGGCTATGCTGATGGCTCAGGGTTTAGGGTTTAGGGCTTAGGGCTCAGGGTTTGGGGGTTTAGGGTTTAGGGGTTTATGGGGTTTAGGGTTTGGGTTTTAGGGTTTAGGGTTTAGGGCTACTCGGGTGTAGTGTTTAGGGTGTAGGGTTAGGGTCTAGGGCTTAAGGTTTTAGGGGTGGTTTAGAGGGCTTTTAGTGCTTTTAAGGGTTGGGAGGGCTATAAGGGGTTTAAGGGTCTCCGTGTTGTAGGGTTTAAGGCTTGAGGGTTTCATGTGGCCTCTGGATCAACACGTATACCTGTGAAAAGAGGATAGCTAGAATTGCTGCGCAGATGTTCCTGTCTTGGGCGATCAGGAGCTAGGGTTTTAGGGTTAGGATGTTGGCGTTCGATGCCTGAATCTTTTGTGCAGAAACAGACTGCGACATTGGGGCTTGGAGGCCCACAATCATCAACCCTATACACCGTAAACCCTGAACACTAAACCCTCAACCCTTTGAAGCCCTGAACCCTAAACCCTAAACCCTAAACCCTAAACCCTAAACCCTAAACCCTAAACCCTAAATGCTAAACCCTAAACCCTAAACCCTAACCCTAAACCCCAAACCCTAAACCCTAAACCCAAAACCCAAACCCTAAACCCTAAACCCTAAACCCCCAAACCCCCGAACTTATCGTAGCACATGCCTGGTCAGACACTGCGCTGCTTGCACAGGAGCCGGGACCCAGTCTCATAACAGAGAGTATGTCCTTTGCAGCTTTTTAGGGTTTAGGGTTTAGGGCTTAGGGTTTACGGTTAGGGTTTAGGGTTTAGGGTTTAGGGTTTAGGGGTCTCGTAACAGAGAGTATGTCCTTCGCAGCTCTCAGGGGCTTCTGGGGTTTTTGTTGGTAGGGTTAAACCCTAAACCCTAAACCCTAAACCCTAAACCCTAAACCCTGAACCCTGAACCCTGAACCCTGAGCCCTAAACTCTACCTGTACGTCTCCCCAGAACTTCTTCTCATGGTTCTGGGCTTCGGAGAGCATGCTAGATAAGTGTTTCGGCCATAGCTTGAGCCTTAGAGCCCCCAAATTCAGCCTTGCCTTAACTTTGTAGGCCTCGGACCATCAAACGACTTTGGGGTTCAATGCTTATTTAGGCTTAACCAAAAAAACTCACCCTTTCCCGCCCGAAGTACCAGGACCCATACGGATGGGTGAGGGTCACAGGAGACGCACATTCTGAACATCCTAGGGTAGATACATGGTCCACTACTATAGGCTTGTAAAAAGGGAACCGCCCGTACTTCAGAACCCTAGAAAGAAGGTAAGGGACTGTATTAAGGGCCCATGTAACTACCCTTAGAGAACAGCCTTGCCAGGAAGCTCAGTACTATGCCTTGATTACCTTAAGCTGTGTATACATATAGGACTATAGGAGCTCTGATTCTATGACAAAGAGGAAAGATTCCCTACTGCTTGATGTACTGAACTGTCCCTAAACCCTAAACCCTAAACCCTAAACCCTAAACCCTAAACCCTAAACCCTAAACCCTAAACCCTAAACCCTAAACCCTAAACCTAAACCCTAAACCACAAAATACGCCCAGCCGCTGCGATGTCTTTCGAGGCAAGCTCCGCGAGCAGGCTCGTGCCTTTTGCCAAAAGCGCGTGTTCAACCCCCCAAGATCGCCCTAAACCCTAAACCCCAAACCCTAAACCCTAAACCCTAACCCCAAACCCTAAACCGGGTTTAGGTTTTCCACGCTTCCCCCTTTGGTTCGTGGTGAGCGTCAGCGCTTTGCCGGTTTACCGGCAAAAGGGCGCGAACGCGGAGTCGGATACACAACGCAAAAGAGCCAGCTTCACCCCCTAGATCTCCAAAGCCCGCAATGAGCTTATATAGTTTTTTTGTTTTTTTTTTTGGGGGGGGGGGGGGGGGTTAGGGTTTAGGGTTTAGGGCTACCAACCCCTAAATCCTTAGTCCCCCTTTTACTGCCCTCAAACTTCCGAACATGCGCTCCAAGAGTGCTGTTGTGCGAGGGGATGGTGCTGGCCGGCAGCGGCTCGGCTGGCGAGTCCTTCCGATTTCTCAGGTTCTGGGATTTGGAGTGTAACCCTAAACCCTAAACCCTAACCCCAAACCCTAAACACCAATTTCTGTGGCTTGGGGGTGAGAGTTGTATAGGGTCCACTGAAACCCTAAACCCTAAACCCTAAACCCTAAACCCTAAACCCTAAACCCTAAACCCTAAACGGCTTAAGGTTGCTGACCCCCCCCCCCCCCCCCCCCCCCCCCCGAAGGCGCCTGCGGCGGGGGCAAGTGCGGCAGGGGCAAGTCTGAGAGGTGCAGAGGCTCGTCGTCAACTCGAGAGACCTGGGCATGAGATTTAGGGTTTAGGGTTTAGGGTTCAGGGTTTCGGGCTTAGGGTTTAAGGGTTAGGGTTGAGGGTGCCTAAACCCCAAACCCCAAGCCCGAATATTAACCCCAAGCCTCACGTAAACGCAAAACCCTGCGCCCTGGACCCCAGACACCCTAAACCCGAAATCCCAGACACCGTAAACCCTAAACCCCAAACCCCAGACCCCATATATGAACCCTCAGACCGAAGTTCCACCGCTTGCGAACGCAGATTGCTAAGCCCAAAACCCCAAAGCGCAACCCAGAACCTCAGGTCCTGAACACGTTTAGGGTTTAGAGTTTAAGGTTGAAGTTTTGGGGTTTTGGCCTAAGCCTGCACAGGTCTGGGATGTCCCAATGCAATGTTTGTTTTCTGTGAGCTATATACGTCTATACAGGGATCGGCGGGCCCGTTGAAACTTTCAAGAGTCTCCACAGGACCAGGAACTTTTGAGGAAAACCCCAAACAAACACTTGTAATTTATTTAAGAGCAGGCCTCAGAGAAAAAAGAAAAACTAAGCCCACACCTCTGCACAAACCAAAGCCATTACCAAAACCTAACACCCTAAGCCCACCCGACGTAACCCTACATGAGCCCAAATCTACTAGTTGCTCAAGAAATCCTCCCCCCCCCCCCCGCCCAAAAACAAAAACATGCTTCCTAATTACATGTGGGGATCAGTGGGGGGGCTCTGAAGCAAACAGTAGAACTGCCAAACCATGCTCAGCCAAAGTCACTGCCAGGGCAGGGTCTGCAGCTGAGGCTGCTTGCTCGCACTGGACATTGAGCGCGAGCGCAGCCCACCCCTCAGCTTCCACAACCTGTTTAGGGTTTAGGGTTTAGGGTTTGGGGTTTTCGGGTTTGGGGTGTAAAGTTTCGGGTTTAGGGCTTAGGGTCTAGGACGATTTTTGTTCTTGTTCCGGTTCCGAAAGTATCGAGAACTTCAGCGCAACCTGTGGGAAGAAGGCAGAAGCAGAATTGTCCGACAGGGGCCTCCCCAAATCAGGCGCGAAGTTTCGGGTTTTAGGGTTTTAGAGTCTGAGGGGGTATTCTAGCTTCAGAGTTTTTTGGGCTTTAGGCGTTTAAGGACTTTCAGTGTTTTCGGGTGCTGGGGCTTGAAGCGGGTTAGCGCCCCCCCAAAGCCCTGAACTACAAACTGGTAAGGTGCAGCTTCCCTGGACCCTGGACCCGAAACCCTAGGGGTCAGGCCTAAACCCTAAACCCTAAACCCTATAAACCCTATAAACCCTATAAACCCTATAAACCCTATAAACCCTATAAACCCTATAAACCCTATAAACCCTATAAACCCTAAACCCTAAACCCTAAACCCTAAACCTTCCCTTGCTCTGGAACATCATTCGTTGTTCATATTTTGGGGGCGTTGATTCCCGTACAGGGGACAGTGAGATTCCCACGTACTCAGGAGTGCGGGTTCTGGGGTTAGCGTCTAGAGGTTTCGAGACACGAGGCCCAAGAGCAACCTGGGAATCAACAGGGAGCCCTTTTGGCTTGAAAGGGGGCTTAGGGAACCCGAAACCCTAAACCCTAAACCCTAAACCCTAAACCCTAAACCCTAAACCCTAAACCCTAAACCCTAAACCCTAAACCCTAAAAGGAAGGGAATGAGGGGCCCACTCTGGGTCCTAGGACATGTCCGAAAGCGAAACGCCAGGGAAGGATGGGAAGAGTATTACAGAGAAGGAGCCCACAGTGCCTTATGCAATCCCTTCAGCTCAAAACCCCTAAGCCTTAAACTCTAAACCCTGAACCTGAGGCCCTAAACCCTAAACCCTAATAGCCTGAAACTCTAAACCCTGAACCTGAGACCCTAAACCCTAAACCCTAAACCCCAAACCCCAAACCCTAAACCCGAAACCCTAAACCCGAACTCCCCCAAGATCATGCGGAGGACCTCGGCCATGACCGTCTGCAAGCCAGACTGCGCAACCTTTTGGCAACCGGGCGATGATTCTTCAACAAAATGAAGGGTCTAGGGTTTAGGGTTTAGGGTTCAGGGTTTTAGGGTTTAGGGGTTAGGGCAACAAAATATACATATTCACATATGTGTAGCTTTATACTAAGTAGGATTATATTCTTGTATCCCCAAAAGGACACCCCATGTATGGTTGTGCGCTGTGCGTTCTGCGCCCCCCCCCCCCCCCCCCCCCCAAAGGGAAGCCCCAACCCCACGCTAAACCCTAAACCCTAAACCCTGAACCCTGAACCCTAAACCCTAAACCACTGAAACCGTAAAACCCTAAAACCAACCCTGAACCACCCCACAGGGGGGGGGCCGCCGGGGCGCAACCATAAAAACACTCACCAATATTACAAAGGAACCTTATATACACTCACCGAAAACAGTAATATAAACCCCCCTTCATACAGTCTGGGCTGCTTTGGTGCTTAGGGTTGAGGGTTCAAGACTTCAGAGATAGTTGGGATGCCGAATTTCGACAAAACCCTAATTGAGGGTTTTGGGCTTTGGCTTACCTTCTTGAGTCTTCGGGCACTTCTATCCACTTCGGGGCTAACCTTTTCAAGCCCTGTAAGCCCCAAGCCTCAAACCAGCCAACCAACCCAAACCAACCAGAACCAAATTCATCTCCCAACTCTCCCCTAAACCCTAAACCCTAAACCCTAACCCCTAAACCCTAAGCCCTAAACCCCCCGTAACCCCCCCTCCCCCCCCTCCCAACTCTCTCCCCCCGGTCTCAGCAAGGCCTCGGCGAGGGCGGCGCTCCCCGGCGACACTGAGGAGGTGTGTCCGGAGGGCGAGCCGGCCATGAAGTCCTGAAGGGTTTAGGGTTTAGGGTTTAGGGTTTAGGGTTTAGGGTTTAGGGTTTAGGGTTTAGGGTTTAGGGTTTAGGGTTTAGGGTTTTAGGGTTTTAGGGTTTAGGGATAGGGTTTAGGGCTTCGGGCTTAGGGCTAAGGGGTTAGGGTTTAGGGTTGAGGGTTGAGGGTTTAGGGTTGAGGGTTTAGGGCTTAGTAAGTTTAGGGTTTAGTAAGTTTAGGGTTCAGGGTTCAGGGTTCAGGGTTTAGGGCTTAGGGATAGGGTTTAGGGTTGAGGGTTGAGGGTTGAGGGTTGAGGGTTGAGGGTTGAGGGTTGAGGGTATAGGGTTTAGTAAGTTTAGGATTTAGCAAGTTTAGGGTTTAGTAAGTTTAGGGTTCAGGGTTTAGGGTTTAGGGTCTGAAGGTTCTGTCGGAAGGGGTTTAGGGGTTTCGGGGGTGGTAGGGATTCGGCCGGCTTTTCGTTGCGGGTGCTGATTTACGGGGTTCGGAGTTAGGGTTTGGGGAGGTCTTGGGGTCGACTGTGGCAGGGTTCAGGGCATGCTTGGGACCCTTAATCCCTAAACCCTAAACCCTAAACCCTAAACCCTAAACCCTAAACTTACACCCTTTGGGAACCAGATGTCGGGCCACAAGGTCCTTGACACACATCTAGGACTTTAGGTGTAGGTTTTGGCTCCGTGGGTGTCTTTGCATTTCTTGCTCGGAGGGTGGGTAAGCGTTTACCGTCTAGTGTTTTTTGTGCACAGGCCGGGGGTGGGGGGGGGACTTGGGTTTTAGGGCTGCAGAATTCAGAGGATGCTGCCGTTTTCAAGAGTGCATTGAACGAGCACGGTCCCCTTTAAAAGCCGGACATGTTGCACAAACCCGTTACACCCAAAAGGGAAGTCCCCCTTTGTTTTACAGGGCTTAACATGTTTGTCTCATACCGGTTGCTCGAGAGTTGCTGCTGCACTTTGGTACAAGGAGCAGTTCGATGTACGATGGCTCCTACACCACCCGTTTCCAAAAGGCAACTATCCATAGTCGATAAGATGTAGAAGCAGACCCGACACCCTAAACCCTAAACCCTAAACCCTAAACCCTAAAGCCTAAACCCTAAACCCTAAACCCTAAACCCAGAGCTGGTTCTGGCCGAAGGGCGCTCTCAGCCTGACGTGGGAGGGCTCCTGAAGGTAGCATGACCTGTCCAAAGCGCGCACCGCAAATTGCACGAAAAAAAGGGCTTAGGGTTTAGGGTTTAGGGTTTAGGGTTAATTAGGCTCGCAATGAATGTAGACATGCCTTGCGTCACTTGGGTGGTTCTCGAACATAGGCTCCCTGTTTGGGGTCCTCCTTATAGTAGGGCGCCCAAAATAAAGGGCCCCGCAAGGGACCCTAATGTACAGAACTACCCGCTTTTCAAGACTACGAAGTACACTCTGGGTGTGTTGGGGTTGCGGGCAAGCCCTGAACCCTCAAGCATAAGACTGCCTGAGGGGAATGCGAACTGCCGAAACCTAAACCTTGTACGAACCCTCAGCACCACAACCACCCCGCCCCCCGTCCCAAACCCTAAACCCTAAACCCTAAGCCCTAAACCCGAAACCCTAAACCCTAAACCCTAAACCCTCCCATCTCCCAACCCCACACTGAAGCCCCAGTCCTTTTGCAGCCAACTGAACCCTGACGCCTCCCCGACGTATCCACAGGACGACATGCTTGGGGTGTCCTTCGGTTCAGGGCTTAGGGCTTAGGGCTTAGGGCTTAGGGCTTAGGGCTTAGGGCTTAGGGCTTAGGGCTTAGGGCTTAGGGCTTAGGGTTTAGGGTTTAGGGTTTCGGGTTTCGGGTTTAGGGTCTGTGCTCAGGAGCAACACACAGCTTCGTTGGGGAACATAAATGTCGTGGTGTGGAGGACTGGCGGGTCGGCATCGAAACTTGCTTCAAACCCTAATCCCTCAACCATCAACCCTCAACCCTCAACCCTGAACCCTAAACCCTCAACCCTAAACCCTAAACCCTAAACCCTAAACCCTAAACCCTAAACCCCGAACCTGAATTGAGGTGTCCTTTGGGCTCTCAGTGTGCACCTTGAGGCTCAGGGCCCCAGACATGCTCATAAAGGTCGCGTCAGTTCGGGTTTAGGGTTGAGGGTTGAGGGTTGAGGGTTTAGGGTTTAGGGTTTAGGGTTTAGGGTGTAGGGTTTAGGGCTTAGGGCTTAGGGTTTAGGGTTTAGGGCTTGGGGCTTTAGGCTTTAGGGTACATGTACCCACTACCTGCAGCGACCCATGCACAAAAAAGTAGGGTTGAAGGCTTTTTTCACGGGGTCTTGAGCTTTGGGGTTGTGTCGTGGGCTTGGCTATGGGGTCCAGTTTAGGGTTCAGGGTTTGGGATTCAAGGGGGTGTAGGGTTAGGGTTTGGGATTCAAGGGGCTGGAGGGTTTGGGGTGTAGGGTTAGGGTTTGGGATTCAAGGGGGCTGGAGGGTTTGGGGTGTAGGGTTAGGGTTTGGGATTCAAGGGGGCTGGAGGGTTTGGCGTGTAGGGTTAGGGATTAGGGTTTAGGGGTGTGACTGTGTGTTCGCCGAATGCGGAATGAAGTTGTCCTCCCATAGCAGTCACGGGCAAACCAGGGGCACCAAAAGCTGACACGGACTCCCCTAAACCCTACACCCTACACCCTACACCCTAAACCCTAAACCCTAAACCCTAAACCCTCCCTTCAAGGGGATAATTTCGAACCTGAAGCCTAAAACCCTGTCCCTAATACCCTGTCGCCTGTCGCCTCGAACCCTAAACCCTCAACCCTAACCCCTAAGCCTTGTAAACCCTATAAACCCTATAAACACAATAAACCCTATAAACCCTATAAACCCAATAACCCCTATAAACCCAATAAACCCTATAAACCCAATAAACCTTATAAACCCTATAAACCCTATAAACCCTATAAACCCTATAAACCCTATAAACCCTATAAACCGTATAAACCCCATAAATCCTATGAACCCAATAATTAAACCCTATAAACCCTATAAACCCACTAAACCCACTAAACCCTATAAACCCTATAAACCCTATAAACCCTATAAACCGTATAAACCCCATAAATCCTATGAACCCAACAAACCCTATCAACCCTATAAACCCAATAAACCCTATAAACCCAATAAACTCGATAAACCCCATAAACCCTATAAACCTTATAAACCCTAAATAACCCTAAACCCTAAACCCTAAACCCTAAACCCTAAATAGCTAATCCTGAACATGTCCTCGTGCCGCGCCACCCGCGCTTGTTGCACGGTGGCCATGAACTGGCGGAGAAGACTCTGCTGTAAACAGGATCTGGAAACTTCGGAGCCCTTCGGAGGTTTAGGGTTTAGGGTTTAGGGCTTAGGGTTTAGGGTTTAGGGTTTAGAGTTTAGGGTTTAGGGCTTAGGGTTTTGAAATGCAGCGGACGGGACCAGCAACTTAGCGCAGTTCAGGCCTGAGGGTACGTAAAGTGGGATGTAGAGTTTCGGATCTCGGTATTTGGAGAGTTCCGAGTGGTCCCTTCTTGGCGGTCTCTGCGAGAAAGGGTGCGGAGAGTTTCAGGCCTGGGGATTGGAGGAAATAAGAGGGATGAATACGGCGACTAGAAGGGGTCCATGCCATACAGTTTTTCGGGTGTGGGGCATTTGAAGTAGGGTTTTCCTTAGCAGCATCCCCCAAAAGGACACCACATGACATACACTCACCTGATATTTAGAAAGAACCCTGCGATCCTGTCTACGCTCACCCTTATAAACCCAAAAGCCCCAAACCCGACCCTAAAAATCCAAAACCTGAATCCTAAGCCCAACCCTTAACTCCAAACCCTAAACCCTAAACAAGGTTGCGGGTGCTCCCGCCTCTTGGCGGAGGTAGTCCAAACCTGCAGCCCGGTTCTTTACGAAATGAAGAAACCCTGTGCCCTATACTCTTCAAACCCTAATCCGTCAACCCTAAATCCTGTAAGCCCTAAGCCTATCAGAAACCTACTTCAACAAGAAGTAAGTTCCGTAAGGGTAAGGGTCAGACAGGAAGGAGCATCCTAATCCCTGAATGGGGCAGAGCCCTGAACGGTAAACTCCATACCTAAAGCAAGACACCGTGCACACGCCTGTCTATCATACGGGCAAAAAAAACGGCTGAAGTCCCTCAACATTTTAGGGTTTTGGGGGAGGGTTTAGGGTTTAGGGTTTAGGGTTTAGGGTTTAGGGTTTAGGGTTTAGGGTTTAGGGTTTAGGGCTTAGGGTTTAGGGTTTAGGGTTAGCAATCAGGTCCTTTGGTAGCTGGTGGGGCATGCCAGCTTTAGGGAGTCAACGGGGAAGGGTTGAGGGTACCACAGAGGACAGAGGGCCACAGGCCAAGTTCTCCTAAACCCTAAACCCTTAAACCCTTAAACCCCTAAACCCCTAACCCTAAACCCTAAACCCTAAACCCCTAAAACCTCCCTCAGGGATCCTACAGGCCTATTCCGATGCCCGATCTTGTCGCGCTCTCCAGGCTCTCCGTCTGCACGCGAGCCTAAGGGCTGAGGAAACTTCAGCGCGTCTACCATAGGGGCCTTAGTACTTAGAATAGGGCTTAGGGTTTAGGGTTTAGGGTTTCGGGTTTAGGGTTTAGGGTTTAGGGTTTGGGGTTTGGGGTTTAGGGTTTAGGGATAGTGGTGTATAAATACAAGGGGACCATAATTGGTCTTGGATTAAGGTTTAGGGTTTAGGGTTTATGGTTTGGGTTTTAGGGTTTGGGGCGTGAGGTTTAGAGGTCAAGGTTGGGGACTGTGGGTTTGAGGGTTTCACGGTGTGTGCGCTTGAGGGGTTGGGGTTAGCTTAGAGTTGGGGGATTTGCCTGGAGGTTCTGTAAAGAGCCTCAAAAACCCTAAACCCTAAACCCTAAACCCTAGACCCTAAACCCTAAACCCTAAACCCTAAACCCTAAACCGTGGGAGGTCTGACGGGATATGAAAGGGCTTTTGGCGGATGCACCCTGGGTCCTTGGCAAGACGCCTCGGGATCTAGAGCTTTGGGTTTGTCAGGGTCTAGGGTTTAGGGTTTAGGGTTTAGGGTCTAGGGTTTAGGGTTTAGGGTTTAGGGTTTAGGGTTTAGGGTTTAGGGTTTAGGGTTTAGGGTGTTCCCCCTCATACTAAGGACTCTTAGTAAAAGCGGGAACATCCCAAGTTTAGGGGATAGCTTAGCGTGGAGGGGTTGTTATCAAGGGACGAAAAGAGGGACCCTTATGAGAGACCTTAGGGGTTATTTAGCGGTTATTTAGGGGCTACCTCGGTATATGGGGGTATATAAGGCGTATATTATATAGGGGCATAGGATTAAGTCCTAAACCCTGAACCCTAAACCCTAAACTCTAAACCCTGGGTCCACAGCCATTTCCTCGGCGATGCATGTGGTCAGCCACAGGATGCCGGCCAGGAGAGAACACGCAGGATAGGGTTTAGGGTTTAGGGTTTAGGGTTTAGGGTTTAGGGTTTAGGGTGTAGGGTGTAGGGTGGAGGGTGTAGGGTTTAGGGTTGCAAGGTCAGCTTGAATCAAGGTGGTTGAGGTGGACTTCTTGGGAGATGGGTTGGGGGTTTAGGGTTTAGGGCTTAGGGCTTAGGGTTTAGGGTTTAGGGATGCTTGGCTTGTGAATGCATCTCTGTTTGTGACATGATATGGACGACCGCACTGAAGCCAGGTATCGCAAGTTCGTCGAAGCACTTTCCTCACAACTCAGGGTTTGGGGTGTTGGGTTTGGGTTTTGTGTTTAGGGTTTGGGGTTTCGTGTTGTTACGGTTTGGGGCTCATTGTTTGCTGTTTGTTGTGGCCTTTGGGCTACTTGGTAGACCCAGGAGTAACCTCGGAAATGCAAGGGGAACCCCGTTGGTTTTCAGGGGATTATATAATTATAAGGGAACCCCAACCCTAAAAAAGGAAGTAAGGGCCTCCTCCGGGTCCTATCTTGTATGAGCCAATACAATTAGCCATCGTGCTTCTGTCGCAATAAACCGTGCTATATCATGTCCAAAGACGAAAATTTAGGCTTAGGCGCACTCTTTTGATCCCCAAAACAGGAAAAGGCAGTGAATGTACGAATACCACGGATGTTTATGTTTACTTGCTATATGACCCAACCACGCCTGAACGACATGGCTCCCCTAAAACCCCCCAAGCTTCGACTTGACCGCGCTGCAGGCACTTGTTTGATTGCCCGCTGACGCATGTAGGGTGTGCACGCGAACAGAAAAAAGGCGGCTGCGCAACCGAGGCAGGGTAGAAAGCACCAGGTTTCGACACACAGAAACCGTGAAAGTCGTAAATCAAGATCAGAACCCCTGATCCATGAACCTTACAACTCTACACTCTGCAACCTTAAACCCTAAACCCTATAAACCTATAAACCCTAAACCCTAAACCCTAAACAATAAACCCTAAACCCTAAACCCTAAACCCCGAACCCTAAACCCTAAACCCCGAACCCTAACCCTGGGTTCACCAGACCCTAAACCCTCTACCCTGAATGGGTCGAGGTGGCGGCCCTTTGGGCCCCTCCCCACTGTGCAAGGCGCACCCCAGAAGCCTTGAAAACTACCTCTAAAGTAGGGTTTAGGGTTTAGGGTTTAGGGTTTAGGGTTTAGGTTTCAGGGGTTAGGGTTTAGGGCTTAGGGTTTAAGGTTTAGGGTATAAACCCTAAAACCTTTCGCCTTTAGCTGCCCCATAAACCCCACAATCCTGTACCCCATCCTGATTTAAGATAGATATATGTATATGTGTATATATATATATATATTAATCATGCATCCGAATAAACAGAAAGACCCTAAACCCAAACGCCCTTGAGCAAGAACTCCGACAGTACATAGTAGCCCCTGAGCCCTTAACCAGAGGCTCAAACCCTACTAGCACAACGCCTCGGATGAAAATAGCTCCAGTTCAGACCTTAACCCTTGGTAAACCCTAAACCCTAAACCCTAAACCCTAAAACCCTAAGACCCTAAAACCTTCAACCCTAAACCCTAAACCCCAAAACCCTAAACTCCCAAGGAGGGCCCAAGCCTGCTTGCGGCATGCGAGACCCTGAACCCTAAAACCCCAAACCCTAAGACTTGGGATTTGAAAGGTCTTTTTGAAGGGTTTAGGGTTTAGGGTTTGGGGTTTAGGGTTTAGGGTTTGGGGTTTAGGGTTTGGGGTTTAGGGTTTAGGGTTTGGGGTTTAGGGTTTAGGATTTAGTATTTAGGGTTGGGATGTTCCCGTTTACTAACAGTCCTTAATTAATAGGGATTATAGTACCTGCATACCTGCATTATAATCCCTATTAAGGACTGTTAGTATAAGGGGGAACATCCCAACCCTCAGGCCCTTAAACCCAAACCCTTAAGAACCTAAAACACCAAAACTCAAAAACCCTAAAACCCAAAAAGCCTAAGTGCTACCCAAAACCCATAAAACCCGAAACCCGTAAACCCCGAAACTCAAATAGACACTATTCACACCAGGAACTCAAATAAACACTTATCACAGGTACGTCTTCGGCTTCAGCGGCAGGCACACACCCGGTGGACCGTGTGTCGTCTAAGGCTCCAAACTCTGGTGTCCAACTCGAACCCGTTAGGGAGTCAGAGTTTCGGGTTTAGGGCCTATCGTGCGAAATATCCCCAAACCCTGAAGCCTAAACTCTAAAGCCTAAACCCTAAACCCTAAACCCTAAACCCTAAACAACGAAACCCTAAACCCAAACCCTAAACCCGAAACCTATGGGGCTAATTTCGGATTCAGGGACCCAAGCCGGATTAGAGACTGAGATTTTGCGGGTTAGAGCCTTAGGGACTAGGGTTTAGGGTTTAGGGATTAGGGTTTAGGGTTTAGGGATTAGGGATTAGGGATTAGGGATGGTTGAGCCGGGCACACGGTCATGGATGGAATGCAGGTTTAACGTGCGCATTGATCGAGGCTATGCTGTACAAGCCACATAATGCGAACAACTGGCTGGTTCTTAGTAGCGAATGAGGGAATGAGTTACCCTATATGATCCTTTAAAGGGCATATATAGGGCCCTCATTCCCTAGTTCCCTACTAAGAACCAAGCGAACAAATTCCCCCGAAGGTCCTCTGCATTTTGTACCGCAAGTGGTTCTAAGTGCCACTCTTGTTCTTGCGTGCAACTCTGGGTGCAACTCCTCGAAGATTTAGATTTCACTGCTGCGACATATGCTGCTCCCAAAGTGTTTGAGGCAACACCTCGATGTTAAAATGTACTGCTAACAAGATCAGTGTTCAGCTGCTTCTGGTATGCCTTGGCAATCGGCTACACTCCTGCTAGATAATGCTCCTCTGCTCCTCCCTGTGCGAACGCTACAACTACATCTGACAACGCTGCCTCTCTCTATGGTGAAAGCGACTACCAGGACGTGTGTTCCTGGCGCCTACACCAGACGATGGCCACATCTTCTGGAACGATGTCGTTCGTGGTGACGCTGTTGCATGCTATGTGTGCGCATGCGCACACCAAGCCTATGAGCCCATGAGCGGCAATGTGCAGAGGCTGTGCTTCTTCATCCCGGTAGCATGCACGTGCAACGCATGTTTGCATTGCCCATCCGCTGCGGGCATCGGCTTTCTCGCTTCAGTGTTCGGGTGTAGTTTTTTTGGGACCAAGTATACCTTCATGTGGATTCTAGTAGCATAGGGTATATGACTCCAATTTTAGTTTTCATTTGGTCTAAGGTTTAGCCCTAAAACCTATAAGCTCCAAACCTCAGGGTTGAGGATTCAACGGAACGAGAGGTCTGAGGCAGGCAGAGAGGCGAGGGTATACTTTCAACATCTGCGTAGGCTCTGGCAAACACAAACAAAGGAAGAAAGTATTGGGATGCTTCGGAAGTTCTAAGGCCTCTAGGGCACGTGACCCTGACCTTGCCTTCTTGCACATCAATTGCATCTATATACCGGTAGCTACGTACAGAAAGACACGAGGATCCCAACAACCCTAAACCTTAAACCCTGAACCCTAAACCCTGACACCTAACCCCTAAACCCTACACCCTAATACCAGCCTCTACCATAAGCCTCACCTAGCCGTGGCACATGCCAAGTAAGACCCAACATGCAGGAGGCTGCTCTTCTTGAATGAGGCTATCAGGGAACTTAAGCCATAAAAGGGAATAACCAGGGTACGGTTCGGAATGGGGTTTAGGGGTTAGGGTTTAGGGATAGTGGCCAACAAGACAAAATCTGTCCCAAAAGCAGATGGGCTGTCGTCGCAGGCAAAAAATGGTCCCATCCGTTGCCCAGAAAGGACGAGAAACGTTGCAAAACGGCGAGGTCGGGCAGCAAATCGTAGATGAGGCGCATGGTTTTGGTTAGGTAGAACCCGCAGTTTGGACCTTGTTTTTAGGGTTTAGGGTTTAGGGTTTAGTGTTCAGGGTTTGCGTACCTTTTCTATACTACAAGAAGTAGAAAGACAAGCCAGATGTCATCAGGCTTCAAGGTTTGGGCTTCTGCAGTTGGGTTGATTGGGGCTTTTATGCTGTTCTGGCAACTGGACATTTGCGGCCCTGGCTAAGATCACTTGCATGGGGGCGGATCGAAAATACGGACCCATCTCTACACCCTAAACAGACTTAAACCCTAAACTCGTTGCGGGGTTTCCTGTGAAACAGAGACCCGAAGAGGACCCACAATGTCGATCGACCCCAACTGATGCCGAAGCTCTTCGACAGTATATCGAAAGCAACTGGGTAGTTCTCGAAATTAGGGTCACTTTTTGGGGTCCTGATGTTAACGGTGCTGTACTATATAAGGGGACCCCAAAAAGTGACCCTTATTTGGAGAACTACCCAACTCATCTGAACTGTGGCCTCCAGTTTCCGGAACGCACTGGACAGTATAAAGATGTTGCCAGCGCCCATGTGTATGGCCTTCCTGCAATCTCGGCTTGGGTTTAGGGTTTACGGTTTAGGGTGTAGGGTTTAGGGTTTAGTGTTTAGGGTTTAAAGCAGCCGTATCATGCAGTAGATGCCGACGCATTGACGACAATTGCATTTGCATGTAGCGTATGCTATTGCAAGATGTCGTTTGGGCTTAGGCCTTGGGGCGACGGCAACATGAAGGGCGGAAGGGCTGCTGGAAGCGATATTCTCTGCCGGCAGCCTTAAATGGCAATCGGGCTGTCCGCGGTGGTCCTTGCAACCACATGTCAGTAGTTCGTGCGACCAAATCCTGAAACTCCCTGCGTAGGCCAACCCAAAACCCAACCCTAAACCCTAAACCCTAAACCCTAGACCCTAAACCCTGAACCCTAAACCCTAAACCCTAAAGCCCAAATTTGCAGTGGTGCAGGGTTGGCCACCATTGGACAGGAAACGTATCTTACAACTAACAAACCTATCGCGCTC